AGTCCGAGCTGGGCAACTTTTCAGACAAAAAAAGCATTAAACTAACTCCCTTCTTCTTAGTCAACTCTCGCACCGGTTTCTACTCGTATATATGCAACAGGAAGATAACAACTTAATAAAGAATAATCTAGTATAATGTAAGAATAAAGAGGAGGAAGCAGAAGCACTGGACATTTCGATTTCTGACGAAAAAAAAAAACTTGTTTTGGAGGTGCAAAATGATAGAATTAGTATGTAGTAGTGAACAAAAAGCCGGAACTAACATTTCGAAACTGCGTGACTTCCGCGATTTCATATCATTCCTCTTAGTGCTTATGTGAACATGCGGAGTAGTTTAGACGGGCTGAACGAGAAGAAGAGTTCTACGTGGACTCCTGAGCCGCTGGATGAACTGCATGATCCTAGCCTCCCAGCGTGCTCGATTTTTGCTATACACATTTAAATAAACAGCTAGTAGCATAATCAAACCACCCCACAGGTACTGGATAGTAAAAGGTTTAGTGAAAAACATGAATGAGATGACAATGGTCACTGCCTTTCGGACCGTGGTGACAGTAACTGCGATAAGCGCCCCCTGAGTGCGCAAAAGGTTGAGAATAGCGTTGACGCCGACGTAGCCGATCACCGAAAACAGTACGCCATAACCGCATGTGTGCACCGGATGCTGCAAATACGCAGAGCCATTGCAATTCAAGAACGTGCATTAAAAAATTCAAAAATACACAAATTCATGAACGCATCCTGATACCTGGCAGTGTGAATCCAAGATGCTGAAACACAGAGTCCCAAACGAATCTTGGTCCAACCACTAATGCACGTTCTTGAATTTTTAGGGACGGGACACAACACACGAAAAATCTGTGTTAATTTTCAACTAAAAGAGCCAAAACGTGTGAAAAAAAGGTGGTACTAAAATTCTGACTTAATTCAAAATATCAACAGTAGCGGAAAGAGAATAGAAAGAGGGATGGAAAGAGAGGGTGTAAGTGGTAAATGCAAAAGCTTTTTTATAGCACTTTCAGCTTTTCAACGTATGCGGTAAAAATATCATATTTTAGTTATATCATGACTTAACAAAAAAGAGAACTAGCTTTCTTCTGATTTTGGTTGGAATACTGCTATCGAAGATGCAGCATCAAAGATGCAGTAATTATGATTGATGCAGTAATTATGATTGTGGTTACGACTACGATAATGAGTGTGCTTATAGTGACAATGACTGCGACAGTGGCACTGTTATTAGTAATGATCACTATTATTATAGTTGTCATTACTGTCATTATTATTACGGTGACTGTGATTATTATGACTGTTAATAATGCAAACGGACATAAAAATGCTGATCCAAATGGGAAAAAAAAAACAGAATATACACACAAACACTGCATACACAAACACACATACGTACATGCATACATACACAAACACACCTCCTTACCAATGTCTAAGTAGGTGCTTTTTATCTGCTGAAATAAAAATGAATAAAAATCACAAGAATCATAAAAGGGCGAAGTAGGAGAACCTTGAGGAAGAAGCGAATTCCATCGAAAAGACTGCCATAAAGAACTAGTCCAACAAAAATATACAAGCAGCCAAATGCGTACGAATAAAGAAGCTACAATTTGTGATTATTACAGTATCGTGTAATATAACAAATAATGATTAATGGTTTTTGTTAAAAATAGATAAAAGATCAACTGCGTTACTATGACGCAGTACCCCTGTCCCTGGTTCAAACTTTAATCACCTTACCCTCACTGAACTTTCGATCTTTGTCCCCTAGGGTATACAAGCACTCCTCTCCATCGCCGGGATCACCACTACCGATCTCCGACTGCGACTTATATATAACTAATATTCATATTCTGCGGAGCTTCGGCTCTCCAGAGCCTCACCTCCTTTTATGCATTATCCTTTTACTTCACTATGTATAATAAACATGTATACAGGACGCGACGTGTTACAAACATACACACACCTACAAACGAGGCACACACTAGTCTAATAGAATAACAATTAGGGTTGCGATAACAGTTGGAAG